CAGAAAGAGTCGGGTACTTTCAGGATGAGTTGGTACTTTAAGAAAGAATTAGGTACTTTTAGAAATAGTTGCGTACTTTCAGAAATAGTTGGGTACTTTCAGAAAGACTGGGGTACTTTCAGAAACATTTGGCTACTTTCAAAGAGAGTCGGGTACTTTCAGGAGTGTGACGAGGAAACGATCATTTTTCCAGCAACATTAGATCGAATATATATGAATCCTACTTGAGGTCTCAGATGAAATCCGAAATTTTTTATCCTCGTACGCAATCTTATAAATTCTCCATCTTTTATGTACTTGTCCTTTCATGATGTAGGAGATCATGGCTCTCCACTTCTTCCTGTCACTAATAGTTCTCAATAAGTTTTGTCTTTTTGCTACTTCTTCCAGTCCCTATTCTGGTATCCACTTACTTAAGCCAGCTAAGTATGTCACGCGTTGCTTTTCATTGTCTCTCTTTCCTTATGTCTGCACTGTGAGTGTCAGATTTTCCAAGCCTTCCTTTCTCATTACGTGGCCCAGAAATTTCAGCCGCTTTTTTCCTGATGTTAAGTATAGGTTTTCTCTTTGTTTGCATCCTCTCCAAAACCTCATCGTTGCTCACACGCTCGGTCCATGATACCTTTTTGTAGAACCATATCTCTGTTGTCTCGAGTCTCTTCTTCATCTTTTGAGGAGATCGTCCAACATTCGCTGTCTTAAAGGAGGACGGATACCACGTAGCAATTCAGTACTCTTTTCTTTGTTACCAAAGAAATCCTTCTGTCTCGTAATACTCTGCCTAGCTTTTGGAACGCGTCTTTGACCATTCCAATACGTCTTCGGATCAGCGTCCTTAATTGTCCAAGTTTGCTGCTAGGCTCAAATATTTAACGATGCAAGATTAAGATTCGTCAGAAAATTAAAATAGGAGAATCTTGAAATTTTCAAGAGTATTTCTAGTTATTATTGCTGTTGTTGTTTTTGCTGGGAGCAAATTGGCAACAAAGTGAATCTGGGGTACAAATATATGAAGCCCATTGCACCATACATGGCTCCCAATCTAATAAGGACATATTAGACACATGCAGCACAGCGAAATGTGTGCTCTATTGTGCATAAGCTTACAGTGATTCTCTCTTTGAAATATCTTTCACGATCACGGATCCTGTAACCTCTTAGGATCTTAGGGGTACCCCATGTGGTGTGTCTTGGGTAGGACAGTCCTACGGAGCCCAATTCTCTCCAGGTTGGTTTGAAGTCTTCCTTCTTCAAGTCTTTGAGTTTTCCTTCTCCCAGACAAAGTTATAGGGCCCAATGTGTCCTGCTATTAACCCACAACTGAGTCGGGGAAGAGATGGAGTCATACCTTTCCCTGTGGTTTTGGCGCGTAAGTGAATGTAATGAAGAAGCAGAAAGAGACAAAGAGAAAGAAGAAAACTACAGAAAAAAGAGTCAGTGAGAATACGAGGGAGAAAGCGAGAGAAACACTTATTCCCATCGTATTCCATTGGTAAGGAAGAAGATCCACTCAGTTTCTTCTCAAGACTTACAGTTTGAGAAAGAGACACTCAAGACGATGCATCGTCTATCACTACGATCTTCAGTCCAGTCCTCTCTGAATCCCAATTCCTCTCGCGCAAATTTTCTTAGGAAAAGTACGAATCAACCTCTTCTCTCCTCCTGTATGGGTTAATTAGTAAGGCGTGTATCAGTAAATCATTATTATTATCTCCAAAAGAATATACAATCCCAAAATCTCTTCTCTCCTCCATCTATGGGTTAATTAGTAAGACGTGTATCAGTAAATCATTATTATTATATCTAAAAGAATATACAATCCCAAAATCTCTTCTCTCCTCCGTCTATGGGTTAATTAGTAAGACGTGTATCAGTAAATCATTATTATTATCTCCAAAAGAATATACAATCCCCAAATTACTTCTCCCCTCCGTCTATGGGTTAATTAGTAAGACGTGTATCAGTAAATATTTATTATTATCTCCAAAAGAATATACAGTCACAAAATATTTTCTGGATTTAAATAGTGATTTACTAAGCGTAATTTAGATGTAGCATAAGGCCGAAAGTGTGAAGAATTCATGGAGAATTGAACTCCCTACTCAATTGTAAATGATTTAGCGAGACAAGATTGCTATCCGTTACGCCATGTTGGAATGCTCTTTTCTGGCTTTAAATAACATGCAATTAACTCAATTACTCTCTTTGCGTCATTATTTCTGAATGAGTGAGTGAGTGTAAAAAAAAAAAAAATTCTTACAACGTGCTTCTTTTGAAAAAAAATTCTCAATCCAACTAACTTTCTAAAATTTGACCGGCCATAAATATTTTGAAAGAACTTCTTCGGCCTGACATGATCTCAGCATCTCAGGGCCCACCTGTGGTTTATACTGCAACCTTAGTTACAGTTTTGGGGACAGTGCGTATTATCTGGTGTAATCAACAGTCTGAACAAGGCCAGTACACTGAAACCCTCAGTCACGATGACTTGTGACTTCATGGACGGCTCTCAGACAGTTCCGTCTAACAAATTTCATTCACAAAGCTTGGGTCAACTAGTGGTATGTTTTTTTTTCAGCCACTTTCTAAAAGTTTCCCCTGCTGGAATTGCCTGCCCAGGTCGATAACCCATCAAACATGGCGACATTTGGGTCATATGTTCGTAAAGTGACTGTTATAACCCCTTTTTCTGCCCATAAGTTAATGCATAACCTCTAATGACAAATATAAAAAAAAAATCCTTTCTTAAAAATACTCAAGCCTTTAAACTTCCCGAAAATCTGACCGTATTTTAAAAGGGCTTCTTTTTCGGTTTGAGTTATTATCAGCACCTCCTCATATTCAGATCGAGTTTAAGACCGACCAGACTAAAATGCACAAAAAATACTATGGTAACTTTTTAATAAGTTCAGTTAAAGGATACTTAACTATCAACAAAATATAAAGGTGTCTGTCCAAATCTGTATTCAGGATGCAATTTTACTCTTCACCGATTCAAATGTATAAAACAATAAAAAAATGAAAAAAAAAAATAAGCGTGACAAAAAACGTTCAGGATCGAATTTCTTTGGTCTGCCTGCAGGCAAATGGAGAAAAGCAGCTACATTTCTGCAGCTGCGCAGACACACCTTTTTGCGTCGACTTCCAATATTTCCCGCCAAATCTAAAACTTTTTAAACAGAATAATTAATATATATATATATATATATATATATATATATATATATATATATATATATATATTATTATTATTATTGCTAGTAATCTTATAAGTATAAGAAATTATACTCGTTCGGAAAACCTTCAGTGTTTTGATTTGCAAATAGTCAAACCAATACCAAAGGGGGGAAAAAAGGTATAATAAAAAGAAAGAACCAAGAACATGTATGTTAGCCGAAAATAATCGTCCAGCATCCAAGTCCAAAGAAAAAAACCCGATACGAGTAAGCAAAATAACTAAATAAAATGCTCGATACAGTAAGTAGAGCAGACCTAGTTAAACCTAGAGAGCCAGACAAACCTACCAAGGTTTGACCTCAGAGGATCGTCAGGGAAGTCAGCCTTCCTGACGATCCGCTTAGGTGAAACTTGGTAGGTTTATCTAGGTTTAGGTTTATATATATATATATATATATATATATATATATATATATATATTAAATAAAAACAGACCACTTTAAGGTTCCATGTAATAAATTATTTCACCACAGCCCTTTTAAAAGGACTGCGGATCATCAAAGTAAAACAAAAAACAGCGTCTGTTTCTAGGCTTTTCTTACAAAGAAAATTAGTGACACTTTCTCTCATAACTTCCTTCTCTTTTTTCTCTCTATGGGTTTTTTCTTCTACCCTTCGATATCAATATATAACTTCCGTTAAGTTAACCGTTTAAATGTGTCAGTATCTGCTAACTCACTCATGTCTTCTCTCTCTTCCACCTCACTTCCTCACTTCGTTAATTTACATATGTTTAATACGGCCCGTCAAAAATGTGTAAATTTCTTTTCATTTTTTGTTTGGAAGTAAAGTCTGATGATCCGCAGTCCTTTTAAAAGGGCTGTGGTGAAATAATTTATTACATGGAACCTTAAAGTGGTCTGTTTTTATTTAAATTATTTGCTCTGGATTTACATTGAGCTCACTGGATTTTATCCTCCTTAGGTTTACCCATACGGATTACCTAGTTTTTAAACTATATATATATATATATATATATATATATATATATATATATATATATATATATATATATATATATATATGTATGTATGTAAATTTCATTAAATATGACAGAGAATATACTTTGATTAAGTTTTTTATATAATTTCACATGTGATCTTATAATTTTTTTCTTAACAGTGTATAAATTATATAAAGACTCTCCAAATGTTATATTTTCCGAGCGCTTTCGCCGATACATTTAGCCATTTTTAAGGATGAAATATATTAACCGTTGACTAGAAACAGATTGTTGTATGTATTCATTTATATAATGTTTCATTTGGACAGCTTTTTATGTAATTTATCTGCTGCAAAGAAAAAAAAATGATAAGATCATATGAGATACGAGATCATATGAGTCCAGTTCTTTCTGCATTCTGTTGAGGATTCTTCTAGACTCGATGAATTACTTAATGATAATTATCTCAAATCTTCCTTATAATTTCTATCACTTGTATATCCTTGCTTGAACGGGCTTCTAAAGCTCTGGATGGAGCGGCTTGGGGATAGTAGTTGTGGTTCCTGAGGGTACACCCCTATGGGTAAGGGAAACTCGGATGAGTTCCACCAGGGAATATGTGATCGAGCGACGCTATATCGATTTTAATTCGCTACCTCTTCGTCAACGAGGCCCGATGGTACAGTTGGTATGATGTTTGCCTTCAATTCTCGGTGGTGGATGCGCACTCCCAAATATTGCTTTCTGCATCCTGCTTAGGTTTCTTCTAGACTCGATAAATTACTTAATTATAATTATCTCAAATCCTCTTTAATTTCTATCATATGTTTAGATAGATAGATAGATATGTGAAAATACTCCTACATAGATAGATAGATATGATCAGATAGATATATGAACAGAACAGTATTAAACAACATTTACCGGCCTGAATGTCCGAGAAATTTTCATAGAAAATATGCGTCCTCCAACAGGAATCGAACCTGTATCCTATACGGAACCGTCATATAGCTTGACGTGCTTTTACCGATTTAGCCAAAGAGGAGCGTTTCGCTTAGCAAGATCGTGAGAAAATCATGGAGAATTGTAGTTTAAAAACAGTAAAAGTAATTTTTAAAAGAAATAGTTACATAAGTAGGTTGGAAGGGATAAAAAGACATAGAGAGTGATAGAAATATATATAGATAGACATGAACAGACAGATATGTGAACAGACTCATAAATAGATAGATAGATAGATAGATAGATACATGAAAATACTTCTACATAGATATGATCAGACAGATATATAAACAGATAGATAGATAGATAGATCGATTGGTAGATATGTGAAAATACCCCTACATAGATAGATATGAACAGACAGATATGTGAACAGACTCATAGATAGATAGATAGATAGATAGATAGATAGATAGATATGTGAAAATAATCCTACATAGATATGATCAGATAGATATATGAACAGATTCATAGATAGATAGATAGATAGATAGATATATGAAAATACTCCTACATAGCTAGATATGAACAGACAGATATGTGAACAGACTCATAGATAGATAGATAGATAGATAGATAGATAGATAGATATGTGAAAATACTCCTACATAGAGAAATAGATATGATCAGATAGATATATGAACAGATTCATAGATAGATAGATAGATAGATAGATAGATAGATAGATAGATAGATATGTGAAAATACTCATACATAGATAGATATGAACAGACAGATATGTGAACAGACTGATAGATAGATAGATAGATAGATAGATAGATAGATATGTGAAAATACTCCTGCATAGATAGATATGATCAGACAAACATATGAACAGATAGATAGATAGATTTGAACAGACTGTGAGCTAGCTAGCTAGATCTATAGATGAAGACAACGAGAGCGGAAGAATGAAAAACTATGAACGATCTGAACCCGTCCATTGTTACGCAAGCCGGCGTTCCCTATTCTTGTTCGTTTCCATTTATCCTCACGGCTTTACTGAATCAAGTCAAGTTCGCATAATGACAAGAGAAGTTTTTGCCGTTCAAGTGTTGGAATGCACACTCTGTCTATTAAATGCTTGTTCAGGCAATCAATTGATTTACCAATTACCAAGTAAGCGAAAATAAGTCGGCACGTGGCGCTTAATCGGCGGCACACGACTTGCCCGCGCGCCTCGGAGCACGTAAGTCGCTGACAACGACGAAGTAAAATAGACAACAAAGAGAGAGAGAGAGAGAGAGAGAGAGAGAGAGAAGAGAAATGCCCGGGTTGAGCATTTATTTGGAGAGATGAAATAGCCTAATGGTTATCGACACGGTCCACGTTGTGGGTTACGTGTCTGGGATCTCCAAATTAGGCGAACAGGCAGTGAAATGCCAATATATGAGAAGGGGATAAAATGAATCACGGAATGCAGAGGAATAGCGAACGACGTTTTTGGTTCTTTCTCTTCTTCTTGTTTCTCTTTATTCTTTTCATAGCCTCTTTGCTATGCTTGTTGTTGCTATTGTTGTTGTTGCGGCTGTTGTTAATCTTGTGCTTGTTCTTCCTCTTCTTCCTCCTCGTCTTCCTGTTTCTCTTTAAAGTTTTCTTATCCTTTTGCTTCTTCTTCTTCTTCTTCTTCTTCTTCTTCTTCTTCCATACCCTCTCCTTGTTTGTCTTCATCGTTTTCTTATCCTTTTTGCCACTCTTCTTCGTCCTCCTCCTTATTCTCCACATCCTCCTCTTCTTTCTCTTAATCGTTTTTGTATCCTCTTTCCTACACTTCTTCTTCTTCTTCTTCTTCTTCTTCTTCCACACCCTCTCCTTGTTCCTCTTCATCATTTTCTTATCCTTTCTGCTACTCTTGTTGTTGTTGTTGTTGTTGTTCTTCTTCTTCTTCTTCCACACCCTCTCCTTGTTCCTATTCATCATTTTCTTATCCTTTCTGCTACTCTTGTTGTTGTTTTTCTTCTTCTTCTTCTTCTTCTTCTTCTTTCTTCTTCTTCTTCTTCCACACCCCTCTCCTTGTTCCTATTCATCATTTTCTTATCCTTTCTGCTACTTGTTGTTGTTGTTTTTTCTTCTTCTTCTTCTTCTTCTTCTTCTTCTTCTTCTTCTTCCACACCTCTATTTTTGTTCCTATTCATCATTTTCTTATCCTTTCTGCTACTCTTGTTGTTGTTGTTGTTCTTCTTCTTCTTCTTCTTCTTCTTCTTCCACACCCTCTCCTTGTTCCTCTTCATCATTTTCTTATCCTTTCTGCTACTCTTGTTGTTGTTGTTGTTGTTCTTCTTCTTCTTCTTCTTCCTTTCTTCCTCTCCTTGTTCCTCTTCATCATTTTCTTATCCTTTCTGCTACTCTTGTTGTTCTTGTTTTTCTTCTTCTTCTTCTTCTTCTTCTTCTTCTTCTTCTTCTTCTTCCACACCCTCTCCTTGTTCCTATTCATCATTTTCTTATCCTTTCTGCTACTCTTGTTGTTGTTTTTTTTCTTCTTCTTCTTCTTCTTCTTCTTCTTCTTCCACACCCTCTCCTTTGTTCCTATTCATCATTTTCTATTATCATTTTCTTATCCTCTTGTTGTTGTTTTCTTTTTCTTCTTCTTCTTCTTCTTTTTTCTTCTTCTTCTTCTTCTTCTTCCACACCCTCTCCTTGTTCCTATTCATCATTTTCTTATCCTTTCTGCTACTCTTGTTGTTGTTGTTTTTCTTCTTCTTCTTCTTCTTCTTCTTCTTCTTCTTCCACACCCTCTCCTTGTTCCTATTCATCATTTTCTTATCCTTTCTGCTACTCTTGTTGTTGTTGTTGTTGTTCTTGTTCTTCTTCTTCTTCTTCTTCTTCTTCCACCCTCTCCTTGTTCCTCTTCATCATTTTCTTATCCTTTCTGCTACTCTTGTTGTTGTTGTTGTTGTTGTTCTTCTTCTTCTTCTTCTTCTTCTTCTTCCACACCCTCTCCTTGTTCCTCTTCATCATTTTCTTATCCTTTCTGCTACTCTTGTTGTTCTTGTTTTTTCTTCTTTTTTCTTCTTCTTCTTCTTCTTCTTCTTCTTTCTTCTTCTTCTTCCACACCCCCTCTCCTTGTTCCTATTCATCATTTTCTTATCCTTTCTGCTACTCTTGTTGTTGTTTTTTTTTTCTTCTTCTTCTTCTTCTTCTTCTTCTTCCACCCTCTCCTTGTTCCTCTTCATCATTTTCTTATGTTCCTGCTACTCTTTTTGTTGTTTGTTTTTTCTTCTTCTTCTTCTTCTTCTTCTTCTTCTTCTTCTTCTTCTTCCACACCCCTCTCCTTGTTCCTCTTCATCATTTTCTTATCTTTTGTTGTTGTTGTTTTTCTTTCTGCTCATCTCTTGTTGTTGTTTTTCTTCTTCTTCTTCTTATTCTTCTTCCACACCCTCTCCTTGTTTCTCTTCATCATTTTCTTATCCTTTCTGCTACTCTTGTTGTTGTTGTTTCTTCTTCTTCTTCTTCTTCTTCTTCTTCTTCTTCTTCCACGCCCTCTCCTTGTTCCTATTCATCATTTTCTTATCCTTTCTGCTACTCTTGTTGTTGTTTTTTTTCTTCTTCTTCTTCTTCTTCTTCTTCCACACCCTCTCCTTGTTTCTCTTCATCATTTTCTTATCCTTTCTGCTACTCTTGTTGTTGTTTTTTTTTCTTCTTCTTCTTCTTCTTCTTCTTCTTCTTCTTCTTCTTCTTCCACACCCTCTCCTTGTTCCTATTCATCATTTTCTTATCCTTTCTGCTACTCTTGTTGTTGTTGTTTTTTTCTTCTTCTTCTTCTTCTTCTTCTTCTTCTTCCACACCCTCTCCTTGTTTCTCTTCATCGTTTTCTTATCCTTTCTGCTACTCTTGTTGTTGTTGTTGTTCTTCTTCTTCTTCTTCTTCTTCTTCCACACCCTCTCCTTGTTCTTCTTCATCATTTTCTTATCCTTTCTGCTACTCTTGTTGTTGTTTTTTTTCTTTTCTTCTTCTTCTTCTTCTTCTTCTTCCACCCTCTCCTTGTTTTCTCTTCATCATTTTCTTATCCTTTCTGCTACTCTTGTTGTTGTTGTTTTTTTCTTCTTCTTCTTCTTATTATTCTTCCACACCTCTCCTTGTTTCTCTTCATCATTTTCTTATCCTTTCTGCTACTTCTTTTGTTGTTTTTGTTTTTCTTCTTCTTCTTCTTCTTCTTCTTCTTCTTCTTCCCACCCTCTCCTTGTTCCTATTCATCATTTTTTTATCCTTTCTGCTACTCTTGTTGTTGTTGTTTCTTCTTCTTCTTCTTCTTCTTCTTCTTCTTTCTTCTTCTTCTTCTTCCACACCCTCTCCTTGTTCCTATTCATCATTTTCTTATCCTTTCTGCTACTCTTGTTGTTGTTTTTCTTCTTCTTCTTCTTCTTCTTCTTCTTCTTCTTCTTCTTCTTCTTCTTCTTCCACACCCTCTCCTTGTTTCTCTTCATCGTTTTCTTATCCTTTTTGCTACTCTTCTTCTTCCTCCTCCTCATTCTCCACATCCTCCTCTTCTTTCGCTTAATCGTTTTCGTATCCTTTCCCTACACTTCTTCTTCTTTTTCTTCTTCTTTTCTTCTTCTTTTATCCATGTAACGGAACGCCCCACGTAAAAAAAAAAACCGTCTTGTGCCAAATCTCGTCTTTTGGGAAAGTCTCGGGCAAATAGCGAGAAGATAACCCTTAGGGCAGAGAGGAACCCAGACGAGGCTATGCTTTACGCTTTTACTGTCGAAACAGTTAAATGTAACCGCCTCTTCTACACTAACAGCTTCTTCTCTAGCACTTCCAGCACATATTCAAATGTAATGCCAATCGACATCTTTTGATCCCTTGATCTTGATCTCTGTTCTTCTCTTTATCTATCTATACTAATGTGTAAATATCTCTCTCTCTATCTCCTTCTCTAATACCCTTTCTTTCTCTCTCTCTCTCTCTCTATATATATATATATATATATATGTATATCATTCAGCTCATTATTTATATATCTATCACATCCAGTTCATTATCTAAGTCAGTTTTTATCCTAGTGTGTCCATATCTCTCTCCCTATCTCCCTCTCTCTAACCCTTTCTCTCTCTCTCTTTCTCTCTCACTCTCTCTCTCTCTCTATATATATATATATATATATCGCAGTCTGCTTATATCTATCTAGTTATGTATCTGGCTCGTATTTAACAAGCATATTTTCACTAAACCATTGTTTGATTTCTTTCAATACGTTTCTCCACATAATATTATTTTATAATGCATGAACACAATGAATTATGAATATATATATATATATATATATATATATATATATATATATATATATATATTGTATTGTATTGTATCTTTTATGCCTAGATATCAATGGAGTTGTATACATCTTTGTATTGCTGTGTGATCAGCACTCGCTTCTTCACGTTCTTTATCTCGAGATCTGTCAATCGCAAACACCTGTTGGCGCGTTTTTTTACTTTCAGCGTCACCACTGAGAGAGAAGGCGGGATTGTTTTGGAAGTTCAGGACCGAGGTGGGGGTCGAAGAGGCAATCTTGCGGCTGCATTATGGGTTGGGCAGAGCGGAGTTGGTAACAGTCCGCGAAAATGACATCGCTGTTGGCGTATCGAATGTGTTAAGGTAGTCAAACAGTAAGCGTACACACACACACATATTTGCACACAAATACACACACGCAATATATATATATATATATATATATATATATATATATATATATATGTATGTATGTATGTATGTATGTATGTATCTCCGCATATGAAACGCCTCCGTTGTATATATATATATATATATATATATATATATATATATATATATATATATAAATTTAGGCATGTGCTTGCATTTATGGGAACATAAATAAAATTTGTAACAGTATTTTTTTATGTGTTTAATATAAACGCATATATATTTCGCTATAAATTCAGACACGTGCGTGTAAAAATGAGACTATAAAGATTTTGTAACACAGTTATGGATAGCGGGGCTGGGATTGAGGACTCGGAGTACGGAGTTCGATTTCCAGTCGAGTTCATCGTATTCATTTACGGGCTAACGATAACTAGCAGGACATACTGCTAATGTGGAAATTATAGGACAGACTGGGTCTCAGGTTTCACGCAAGTACTTTCGACTGTACATTTAGTCATCTTCAGGCATGGAAAATATTTTTTTTTGTACAGTCGAAAGTACTTGTATATTTAAGGATGACCTTATACGGCTTATAATTCTATAATTTAAGAATTTAATTTTATAATTTAAGAAAGACCTTATACATCCTATAATTTAAAAAAAACAAGGA